ACACACACACATATACATAAAGCAACTAACATGTGTTGAGAACGAAAAGACAAGCCTTAATTAAAAAACCAGAAGCAGCAACATGCTTTCAACCTAACGCGTATGTATGCAAGCAAAGAAGAAAATAAAAACTAAAATACATACATTTCTGATAGATGCCCAAAATGAAATGCAAAATCAAAAAGCACTTCGATCATTTGCCACCTTCATATGGGTCCAAACAAAGCGTATAAACGCAAACCCAAAATAATATCTGAGGGTTTTAGCATTAAAACATGAAAGGCTTCATTTCATCACAAAAACTTCACACAAAAACTTTCTTCTTTCTACCCAGTTTCAAACAATTGTTAAGATTAAAAACGCAATACGCAAAGGAGTGAATTAGATAAGGCAAAGGATGATCATGCTCTAATACCAAATGAGACAAATTTATACTACAGATTCAACAAATCTAAATATATTAAACAAGCACATTTAAGCATATTCAGATTATAAGAAAAGTTGAAATAGAAAGACTAACCTTCAGCCATTATTGTATGCTTGCTTAGCTTTTAGTTTCTGAACCCTTGCTCCCAAAACACGATGGTAATGTATATGAAGTAAAGAATAGGCTCAGTGACTAGATTATCCAAATTTATATAAAACTCCAAAACCATCACAAAGTCTTTTAACGCTCGAAGAGTTCGTTGTAGAAATCACAGCACATCCACACACTTGAAAACGATTTGAAAAATTGAACCACTTTTAGAAGGATCTTAACCGAACTGAAGAGAAAATAAATGGAAGGGAATATATAATAAAAAACGGAGGCATTATGTTGTGACCTCTCTGCTGAATAAAGGCTAACAAGGTACGTTGAAAATTTCACTCTTTTGAAAAGTTGCTAAGAATTTCAACTATGGTTCCTAGTAACAGTCGTCGTTATTTGTGAATTCCATGAAGTTTTAACATTCACCCGTTATTATTTTTCATTTTAACGATAATTATACTTAAAACCATCATTAAAAAAATTGTTTATTTCAAAAACACTTTTTTTTTTCATATGACGCGTTGGTGATAAATGTCGTTGATTTGCATCATGGAGGCCCTTTAATGATGGTTGACTTTCTTAGTTCGAAAGTGGTATATTGGTGCACTTCTAACTTATATGTAAACTTGGTTGAAGAGCGGGAGGAATAAAAGTTCACATAATCAAGAATATAAGGTTAATTTTGCAGCTACCACTTAGATGCATAGTTTATGTTAAATAAAATGTGAACAAGTAATGTAAAAGTCAATGGATACACAAATATATTTTATAGAATAAGGATGAAATATTGCAATGCATCACGAATAATTTTTTGAATTATTTTTGTATCTATTAATTGTACATATCTTATAAAGGGGGTTGAAATATTTTGAGTACTATTATAGTTATAATATATCTTATTGTTAATAAAATAATAACATTTACATCACATTTTAGTAGGTTTGATGTAGATATTGTTCTTTTTAATTATAGAAATGGCACAGTAAATTTTTTCACCTTAGATATATTAGATATATTATGTATAAATGTTAAATTAGTAATGTAAACATCTTAGCATTAACGTTAAAGTATTAATTGAACCGATTTCTATTAATTAGATTATTATATTCTTTCATGATTTAATTATACAGATTATAAGATGCTATAGAAAAAAGAAAAGATAACCTTACCGTAATTGCAATTAATATTAATTTTAGTAGTTTAAAATCATATATTGTAGTTTATTTCCATAAAGAAATGAGATCTTTTAAAATTCTGTTAGCCTCAAGATTGTGTATTTAAATAGAATTGAATAGGAGAATCCACATCTTCAAGCAGCAGGAGGCAGTGTATAATCTACCGCAGTAATCATGCAAAGTAAGTATTCTTTTAACCATGGTGGGGCTGGTCGCGGTACTTCAAGAAGAAGGGGTCGAGGATCTCCAATGGCAGAACTTGAAGAGTCGGCCAGACAGGAAAGAAGGGAAGAGGAATATTCAGAAATGATGAATGTATGTGAACACTGTGTAGCCTTGCAAAACAATATGATCTTGCCATCACCGTATTTTCAAGTTCTTTCAGGTCTTCCACCACCCATAAATAATCATCAAGGTTTCAATATTCAGGTACGTTCAAATCTTCCACCACCAAGAAATAACCCTCAGGATTTCAATATTCAAGTACGTTCAAGTCTTCCGCCACCCAATCCTCAGGGTTTCAATATTCAAGTACGTTCAAATCTTCCACCACCCAGAAATAACCCTCAGAGTTTCAATATTTCAAATCTTCCACCATCCATAAATAACCCTCAGGGTTTGAATATTCAAGTTTTTTCAAGTGTTCCACCACCCACAAATAACCCTCAAGGTTTCAATGGCAACAGGCCCTCCTACAGGTAAGAATTCTTTAGACTTCACCAAGAATCAGTTTCTTGTGTAACAATTCTTATTAAACCCTAAACTCAATATATCTGACATTGCTGTGCCACCTAGCCAAGTTTTGCTTACTAGCCAAGTTGGGAATGTGCAACCTAGCCAAGTTATCAATGAGCAACCTAGCAAAGTTGGTTATGTTCAACTTGGCCAAGTGAGGAATGCGCAACCTAGCCAAGTGAGAAATGTGCAACCTGGCCAAGTGAGAAATGTGCAACCTGGTCAAGTTACTCAAGTAAGTGTCTGGAAGGTTGAATATTCTTTCTGTTTTGTTTTAGCTAAATATGAAAATGTTTCTTTCTGGTTTTGTAGGGTAGAATGAGGTCACAACAACCTTCAGAATCAAATAGACAACTTCCTGTACCTTTCTATGACTTCTTAGGAGTGGAGAATTCGGAGCAGGTCACAGATCCTCGTGAGAGACGTGAAGAAGGAAAATGAAAAGATGGCATTGATCTGAACTTGAATATCTGAGTGTAACTACTTTCATTATAAGAAAATCAAGATATT